CGAGAGCACTGTTTTCACCCCCCTTCCTCCATTCCAGTCCATCACACTTATACTGTAATGGCAAACAAGCAATGCCAGATCATTCAACCTTAAATAGTATTAACAGAAGGATAGCATTCAGAATTTCATAATGTTCAGTTCCATTATATTTGTTCAGTTTCCACTGGTCAGTCTACTTTTGGACTATATCTAGTCCTAGAGGCTATGTTTTAAGAAAGGTATTGATAAACCAACAGATCCCAGGTAGTGTATGATTTGCTATGTGCTCATATGCTATGAGAGACAATTGACAAAATTAGGTAACTTTCATTGGGAGAAGAGAACATTAAGGGGAATCACAATAGCAGGTAACAATTTAGATAATTGATGAGGAAGATGGAGCAGAGGAGTTCTGTGTCGTTCCAGAGGGAGGCTCTAGAACCAGTGGGTAGAAATTGAAAGGGAGCAATTTATGGGTTGTTTTAGACAAAACGTTCTAAGGGTCATATGTGTCATATAGAAGTTCATCCAATTTATTTGTATCAAAGGCAGAAGAAGAGAGAAATTACCATATCTTCTATCAGCTTTGTGCTTCTGCAGCATTACCTGAATTTAAAGCTTTGCGATTGGGTATGTATCGGCATCTATTGTACTATATTTTGGCATTTACCAAAGTAATTTTATTATCTATTGAGTAATAGTCATATGTCTTCCATGTATAAACATGAACCAAATCTAGTGCTATGCATATTACAAACGCTTTAACAATATCAGTGATATTTTAACAGAAATAATTATTTTCTTGATCCCTCTGATTTGTTATGACCTGTGGTCAAAACAATAAATAAATTGAATTCAATTGAATTGAAATTGATCCCTCTGACTGCATTGAATCTCTGCAAAACCTGATTCTGAAGTTTAAAGAAGCTTGGATAAATTTGGCTTGATTTCAGGAGTCTCTAGTTTAAATTTGTTTTAGTAACTTCAGCCTACAAAGTAAGGAGTAGAAATTCTTAATAATGAACAAATATGTGGAGTCCTTGGGGTTCTCTGAGCTTGGTTGTTTTCTTGTAAATGTTTCATTACCCGGCTAGGTAACATCTTCAGTGCTAGAATGGAATGGGGTTTAACAACCAAGCTCAGAGATCCCCAAGGACTCCACAGTTCAACCCTGAGCTACACATATTCCCTTCTATTGAATGAACAAATAGTACATTCTCAATTTACTTGGTCATAGTTACATGACTATTATATGAAATTCATAACATAATTTTGAAGTGCATTTTGGTATAAAAATCAACTTGTTTTTGTTCAAATAGGGAATGCAGGCTATTTTCACTATACAAAGCAAGGGGGCAGCCCAGTAATTGATGGAATTGATGATGCTAAGGAAATGGCTAATACGCGACGGGCTTGCACTCTATTAGGTAAGCACACGACTCTTCAGTGCTGCTCTTAGAATAACTAACCAATGTGGTATATTATTATTTGCAAAAAGAAGGCGGCGAAAAGGATGAATAACTGCTTAAGACGGGGTTCCACTTACTGGGCATGATAGTTTGCAAAATACAGATTGCTCTGGGGAGTTTGCTAATGGGGGAGGAGCACATGTCTGTTTCAATTACACATCGTTTGGCTTTCTTAAAACTGTGCATGGTTACTAAGAGGCTGACTTTCTGGGAAAATTAAGATCTGAAGCACTGTAAGGCTGTCACTTTTATTTCTTGGTGCAAAACTCAGTATTCTCTCACTCTAGGCACCTGCCTTGTTTAAGGATAAAAGTATGTGTTTATTGAAAGTATTAATGGATTGCTTTTAATTGTAAAAGTGCTGAAACAGTGTGTTGTAATTATGCAAGAATGTGATAACATTAGCATAAAAACCATTTGTAAGAAGACAAATATTAAGAGGAGATTCTGTAGGGGCAGACTGACATAGAAACATTTATATTTTATGAAGACACCTAAAGCCTATGAATGTTGGGGCTTGCCTGATTGTAAACAGGGAGGTCATCACGCAGGGTAGATAACAACCTCAAAAAAGCCCATGTTTGCATCTCCCCCAAGTGTCAGTCTGCAGTCTGAAAGCTGGGGGATGGGGCTGTATGTTCTTGTCTTTTTGGTAGAAAAACTAAAAGGGTGACCCTTCTCCCACTCAGTGACTAATTATTACCTTATTATTAACTATACCTTGTATCATTCTTGTTTCGGTACTTAGTAGGACGTTGTTATTGAACGGGACTTTTTATTTATCTTCCCCTGCTTCCCTACCCCAATATGACAGGCATTGTTGATTCCTGTCAGATGGGAATCTTCCAAATCCTTGCTGCTATTCTTCACCTGGGCAATGTGTCATTCATGTCTCGAGATGCTGATAGCTGTACAATACCAGTAAGTTCCAAAACAGTTTAAAGTTGATCCCATTAACATTTCTAAGCTTCCTACTCTTCCTTGTGTGTTTATGTTGTAGTTGTATTGCCAAAATGGAGATAAGCTATATTTTCCCCATCGCTGTTCATATATAGCTTCTATTTTTTCTTTTTAGTTTCTTTCTCATTTTTCTTCAAATTCCATCTTTCCAAAGGGAAGGACTCTCATTAAATCTAAGGCATGGTAGGGGGGATTTTTGTCTGCTTGAAATTTTTAGATGAGTTGTTAGTAATAATATTGTTTTCAATTCTAAGGAGATTATTGTCGTTGTAGCCTAAACACGAACCCCTCAAGATCTTCTGCGATCTCATGGGAGTGGAATATGAACAGATGGCTCACTGGCTTTGCCATAGGAAGCTTGCTACTGCCACAGAGACCTACATCAAACCAATTTCCAAGCTGCAAGCCATCAATGCTAGGGACGCTCTTGCAAAACATATCTATGCTAACCTTTTTACCTGGATTGTAGATCATGTGAACAAAGCTTTGCAATCCACTGTGAAACAGCATTCTTTCATTGGCGTATTAGACATTTATGGGTGAGTGTTTTCTGTCTCAGTATCTTTATCCATTTATTCGGTTTCTATACCACCCAAATGACTTTAGGTGGTTTATAATAGTCAATGTAATAGATTATCTAAAACAATATCTTGATTTTTTATAAAATCAGATTATGTAATAGACAAAACAAAATAGCTTACATCGAGATTCCTGCTAGTGGTGTCCAAATGAATTTGAGAATAATTATATGAAAGAGAGCCAGTTTGGTGTAGTGGTTAAGGCACCAGGCTAGAAACCAGGAGACTGTGAGTTCTAGTCCTGCCTTAGGCACAAATCAGGCTGGGTGATCTTGGGCCAGTCATTCTCTCACAGCCCTAGGAAGGAGGCATTGGCAAACCACTTCTAAAATCTTGCCAAGAAAACTGCAGGGACTTGTTCAGACAGTCACCAGGAATCAACACTGACTCGAAGGTACCCCCCAAAATAAATATAAATATAAATATATGAAGGCTTTGTAGGCTGATGTCTTTTTCAAAGTTGCCTGTTTGGTGGGATTCTTTTCATTCATCTGTTGTTTGCTCTCAGTTTCCTCACAGAGGAATTCCAGGATGGGAATTTCATAGTTTCTCTATTGCTAGTGACTAAACTAGGACTGTTTCCTTCTTCTAGGAATGTAGACATTGTATAAATATTGTTTTGTTTTCGTCTTGCCCCTCCTTTCCATTTTGTATTGCTGATATAATTCTTTGAAGTTTTTAGGCCTCAACCATGAAGCTGTTAATTGAATACTTTAAGATATGCTGGCAATTGGTTTTGTTTTTCAGGTTTGAAACATTTGAGATCAACAGTTTTGAACAATTCTGTATAAATTACGCCAATGAGAAATTACAGCAACAGTTCAATATGGTAAGTAAGAAACTTGGTTTTTTGGTGTGATCCTATCCACCCACAGCTTAATTATTCATTTAATACTTAGATCTTCTGGACTGGTGTGAACTTCTTGGGGGTCATGTCCACACTAACTTTCTTAGATTGGTCCAAGACATGGCAGGTACAGTACAGATGTCTTTCCAATAATGTATTTAATTGGATTTCTGCTTCTGCTTGTCATTTCACCCCTGAGGTTTTAGCTCTGAAAGGGATTGTTTCCTTATTCTTTCCCCGTTTATATCATCTTCATTCAGACAGGACCCTTTTAAAAATTTGTCTAGGTGATAATCGCAATAATATAAGCGGGAGGCATGGTCTGAGCTATGCAATCTTATTGTATAATTTTTTGTAACTTTTTTCATATGCTGCAAGCTTTTGTAACTGACTCCTAGTTTAAGAAAAATATTTGACTTGTATCTCTGCTTAATAAAGGAGGTCTTTAAATGTATCTTTTTCTAGAGGGATAGCTATGTTAGTCTGTGGCATCTGATCAAACAGGCTGTCCATTTCAATTTCTGTATCATAGTTAAAGCCCCAGGAAGAACACAAATACACAATCAGTACTGTAACCTTGCTCTGATGATCCATACTCTCCCCTCCCAAACAGCATGTCTTTAAGTTGGAGCAAGAAGAATACATGAGGGAACAAATTCCTTGGACCTTGATTGATTTCTATGACAATCAGCCCTGCATTAACCTCATAGAGGCCAAATTGGGGATTTTGGATCTGCTGGATGAGGAATGCAAGGTTGGTAGTCAAAATTGTCTCGTGTTTTTCCTGTAGAAAGATGTCGATAGAACAAAATAGAATTAATACCCATCTATACCCTCCCTGGTTTTAGCAGAACATCTCTTTTATCTTCTTCAGCACAGTTTGCCTGGTGGGATGTCCTGAGAGGCATGTGGGTCCTGCCCATTCACAGCTTCCATAAGGAACACCCATTCCCATCTCATTTGAATGTGTGGCTGAGTTTTGCTCAATGTCATTTCACGTGTCTCTCTAGCTAAACTCTCTGGGATAGAAGGGGGTCCATGGCTCCCCTGTGGACTGCAGTAAAGGCCAGTTAAAATGTTACAAAATTCCTGCACAGGAAAAAAGGAATATCTCTTCCTTTCACAATGGCACCATTTATAACTTTTCTGTGATTCCTTTTTCCCCCATGGTGTGCCCCCATCAGAAACGTGAAGTCATTTTCCTATCTTTCCCTTCTCTAGATGCCTAAAGGTTCAGATAATAGTTGGGCCCAGAAATTATACAATACTCACTTGAATAAGACAGCACTTTTTGAGAAACCTCGCTTGTCCAACAAAGCTTTTATTATTCAACACTTTGCAGATAAGGTAAGCGATTTTGTTTCCTGGCTGGTGTGGGTATTACTTCTTCTTGTACTTATTCCTTCTGGGGCTATCAAAAGACCCCTTTGCAGTTGTCATTGGAAGGAATTCTTTGGGCGGAAAATGTTTGGCAGGCAATTCAGCAAAGCAAGTACGCTTTGTGCTGAGTGTAATGGCTTCCTTTACTAACTACCACAATCAGAAATGTTGGCAAAGCATTTAAATTTAAATCTGAAACTGGAAATCTCATAAAACAGAAGACATTTATGCTCCTCTAGGTATACCTGTCTTTCTGTGCCACTGATTCTATAACGTCATTACTATTACAACTATAGCCACTATACCATTTTTGGTAAAATTCGATATTTGCATTTCCAGGTGGAGTACCAGTGTGAAGGATTTTTGGAAAAAAACAAAGATACTGTCTATGAAGAACAGATCAAGGTTCTCAGATCAAGTAAGGTTAGTGTTGAGATTCTCCTCCCTGCCACTTCATTTAACCATCATTAAACCAACCCTATAATGACTGGGTTTTAATCATCATTTTCTGCCTTCAGCACTTAGAGAAAAGCAGGATATAAATCTAACCCAGTTACAGCAATAAAATAGGTGCAATATGACAGATCTTCTCCTTCCTTATCATATTATAGGAAACTTAAGTACATAGTTGGAATCAGAAGGAAAAGTTGCTTTCCGTCTTGTCTGATTTGTGTTACCTTTCTTGAAAGCTTACAGATTTCTAGGCATTTGAAAACCATTCTATTTCCCTGTAATCTCTTTTTTAATGGAATATTGTCCTGTATTTCAGTGAAGGTACCATCATTCTTTCTCAAAATTCACAGTGGAAATATAAATATGAGTGAGAAATACTAGGCTGTCAGATTTCACAACTTTTAGAGTGAGCAACATATGACAGTTTCTGCATATTGCATTGGTGGAATGGCCACTCTTGAACCATGTATGCTGTGTGATATGAAAAAACCTATTGGTCTGGTGCAAGCATAAGAGAGTAAGAATGTTGCACCCACAGCATGCTTGAAGTGAGTTAAGTATGCTTGATAATTGCACTGTGAGAACAGTGGAGAAGGTCTTGCATCACCATGTACTGCTTGTGGGCTTCTTGGATGCCTCTGGTTGGCCTCTGTATGACAGAGTCTCCTGGCTAGATACACCACTGCTCTGATCTAGAAAGGGCTGTTCTTGCATTCGTATGCCAATTTAATTAACATGTTTTATAAAGCAAAACTATCTTATTTTTCAAAGCATTTGGGAAGCAATAAAACCAATCTGTGAATGATAATCTCTCCTGGTTTTGGTTCCCCTTTTTATTGCATTACCTTGGGGAAAACTTGCTTAATTCAGAGATGACATTTTTAAACTCTGTGTCTGAATCAGTTTAAGATGCTACCTGAGCTGTTTCAAGAGGAGAAGGCCATCAGTCCCACTTCAGCAACGCCCTCTGGTCGTACCCCACTGTCTCGAGCAGCCATAAAACCAGCCAAGTCGAAAATGATCCAAACGAGCAAAGAACATAAGAAAACTGTGGGGCATCAGGTGAAGAGAATGAATTGCTGTCAATTGAGTACTACTGCATTTCTCTGTTTTGTGCTGTTTCCAGATCATGCAGCCCTATGTTACTCAGGGGTATCCCTCAGATTGGATGGGAGAAGAAGCACTTGCTGTAACCTTTGTGGAGAAATAGTGAAATCTCCCCCACCACCCAACCCACTTTTGTAAATGATGTTTTCTTGGCTGTTAGTTTGCCTGTGCAGATGCTCAATTAAGGATAGGATACCTGGCTCCTTGGATTATTGCATAACTCTGATCAGGATTTATTTCAGTGAATAATACAGATGCAGACTGGCTTTTTTTAAAAAAATAAATGGATAGTAGATGACTTCTTATCTGTCTGAGATGTTATTGGAGATTGCTGCATGGAGAGGTTTCAGTCTAAAGAAGGAGAAGATGCATCAATGTTTTCCTGTACATCTTTTTTCCTTTTTGATCTTTCCTATAGTTCAGAAATTCTCTGCATCTTTTGATGGAGACCCTTAATGCCACAACTCCACATTATGTGCGGTGTATTAAACCAAATGACTTCAAGTTTCCATTTATGTAAGTTCATGATGCTATAATATTTGCCCTCTGAACATATTGGGGGGGAAAAACATTTGCTGGTATTTGATTTGGACAGAAACAAACAGACGTCATGTCCTTGGTCATTTTATTAGCTATAGCTAAATTTGTACCTTGGAAAATGTCAAGGCTGTTGTCCCGCGATAGAATTTTTATTAATGGAACACTGTTTCTGTGATGGAACCTGAAAAAGATTTTTTCTTGTTTATGAGTTAAATGCATTGAGATAACATGTTTGACTAGTAGTCCTTTGGCTCATTATAGCAAGTTTCTTATACTCCTATGGCCTTACTTGGCTGCTAAACTGATTTCAACACTTCCTGCTCAACGAACATCTGCTGGAGCCCATTTTGGAAGCCAAGGACTCATTTGCATCATTTTGTTAATTTTTGAGCAACTCATCCTTTCCCTCATGATAAACACTTCTGTGCTATGATCACACTTCTGTCACTGAGCACATATCTGTAGATGTTTTTTTACAGTTTTCTGTCTCCCAGATAACTCCGAGCTATGTGTTCCCATGTAGGTTTGATGAAAAGCGGACCGTACAACAGCTCAGAGCTTGTGGTGTGCTGGAAACAATCCGTATCAGTGCAGCTGGTTTCCCTTCTAGGTAAGCATGTCACACAGGTGTGGGAATACAGTGTGCACTTCAAAGAACTTTTCTGATTGGCTAATCCACTTTGCCTCTTGAAACCAGGTGGACATATCAAGAATTCTTCAGCCGCTATCGTGTCCTGATGAAGCAGAAAGATGTCCTCAGTGACAGGAAACAGACTTGTAAAAATGTCTTGGAAAAGCTGATTCTGGTAATGGATTTATGGCACTTAAGGTTAACCCTAACCCATGCTGGGTGGATCCCTGTCATTTGAAGGATGCTCAGTGAAATGGTTCTCCAGTCTTCTCTACTAGTGTGGCTCAATTGTAAATTGTAATCCAGTTTTTCAGATAGATGCTGTTGTTTCACCCCCAATCCCAAAGGATAGTCCTACACCCTTGCTTGCTGATCCATTTAGATTATATTCATATTACTGGACTATTATTGGCTTCTTAATCTGAAGCATTCAAGAATTGGCATGTTTTATTTTCCACACGCTTAATGTTTTGTGTTTTCAAATGGATTCTGTGTATGATATTTAGGTAGGGTTTGGATTCTGTTTTTGTTTTTTTAATTATTATTATTACTTGTTAACACCTGGAAGAGCTAGTTAAGCATAGAGGGGAAGGAGATACTTATATTTAAAATTGTTTCATTTTCAACATGTAAATATGATTTTTCAAGGAGAAATTTATATGGTTGCTGAGAATCAACACTGACTTGATGACACATAATCAAAATATCATTTTAATTTCTCACCTCTTAAAAAAATAGTAGCATGGGAGGGGGAGGGGTTTTTTTAGCAGGAAAATAGCATGGTATAAAGACTCCTTTGCCTTGATCTGACTGAGTTATCCATCCCCTGAAAACGGCTTTTAGTTCCTGAGAAAGATATTAGAAGTTCCAATTACAGAAGTCTGATGTGTCAAGTGGAATTTGACCTTTGCCCAGGGTGTAGAAATGAAAGTACAATTATGTAGCAATAGTTCCCTCCACATCCCGAATTCTTTGGGTCTTGTCTCAGGTAAGCGTGTGTAAGATTGAAAATCCATTTATGCCATGGCAGCTAAACTGGATGAAAGGCTCCTTCATTTAGATGTCCTATAGAGAAGACGAATTAATTTAGTTTCCTAATTCTCCCTTTTAAACTTTGACACTTTGGTATATTGATGTGTGTTTAACCTTCCTGCTTTTTGGGAAATACCATTCATGCTTAGAATGAATTGCCTAACACAGAGTGAATAATAGCACCCTAGATTTTCTTGACATTCTGAAATTATCATTATATATTAGAAAATAGAACTATATGGTCCAAATATTTTTATCCTTTAAAATTTATATTTTAATATATTCTGCTGCTTCTGCATCATAGGACCTTCATAATATCATAAGATATTTTTATGAGCTCTTCTATCTCTGAATCCACTCTGTCTTTTTATTGATATTGCAAAATGTCAGTCTGATACTGATTATACTTTTCCCTCTGAAAATAGGACAAGGATAAATACCAGTTTGGGAAGACAAAAATATTTTTCCGGGCTGGTCAAGTAGCTTATTTGGAAAAAATAAGGGCTGATAAACTAAGGGCAGCTTGCATCCGTATCCAAAAAACCATCAGGGGGTGGTTGATGCGAAAGAAGTACCTGCGCATGAAGAAGGCAGCTATTACCATTCAGAGATATGTCCGTGGGTACCAAGCACGATGGTAAGATGATCCTCTGGGGAAATTTGTTTTTGTAATCCCACCTTAGTTACTTAATAAGTAACTCAAGGCGGCGAACATACCTAATACTCCTTCCTCCTCCTATTTTCCCCACCCCTGTGAGGTGAGTTGGGCTGAGAGAGAGTGACTGGCCCAAAATCACCCAGCTGGCTCTCGTGCCCCAGGCAGGACTGGAACTCACTGTCTCCTGGTTTCTAGCCTGGTGCCTTCACCGTTAGACCAAACTAGCTCTAATTTTTTATTTTTTATTTTTATAATTTATAATTTATAATTAAACTTCTTTCATTCTTATGATGACTTGCTGTAAGTTGTTTCCTTGCTGTCTATTCAGTTTTCTTTAAAATCAGATTATTATAGGCTGTTTATTGGAAGATAGGCCTGTGCCATTGGATATTCATAAGACAAATGCTTTCTATTTTTCAGCCTGCTTATGATTGGATTGCAAGAGGTTGTAGAATGTCTGGTGGAGCATAATATGGGGTAGATGAGCTATTTTTAGTTTGATTAGGGGAGTGAAAATTAGTTGCAGGCTTGGTATAGGCTGAAAAACACAAATCATCGAAATTGAATATTAGTGGCTACTAGTCATATGCATTTTGTGGGTTCAGGGGCCGTGAAGACTCAGTCCTAAGTATGGGAAGTAGAGACATTTCTTGAAGACCCTGTTTCTGATCGATCACCTTGGAGGCATTTGGTTGGCCACTCTGGCTAGTGCTCAATTAGATGAGCCATTGGTCTTATCCAGTAGAGCCCTTATCAGAATGTAATTTTGTGCTGCATCTTTGACTTTCCCAAAAATAATATTTGATTAGCCAGGTTTTATCTAATATAGTTTCCTGAGGCTCTTTATAAAATAAACTCAGAGACAATAGCATAGAACGATAGATCCTAATCGTTCCTTTATTCAGATTACTACTGCATCATCAAAAGCTTTTGAAGACCACCATGTAAGCCAGTGTAGAAACATAGTACATGTTGCTAACGTGTTTGTGACTATCTTGATGGCGTCTATGGGACCCAAAATTATTATTTCAGATTTTTTAAAAAAGAATGTTGCTGAAACCTACAGAATTTGAGTGAGAACAACAAAATCTTGTTGTAGACTTGGTGCTTTGCCAAGATTCTGATAGTTTTTACAAAATTTTATTTTGGCATCTGCAACAAGGACCATCTTTAGTATCAATTATAGTCAGACTACAGGTCAGGAGCCATGGTGTAGAACTGTGGTGGAGGAAAGAGACATTTTCTGATGTATATTTCTACTTCGGCTGCTTCTTTCTTAGATGCTAGATTATGGCTCCTCAAGTTTGAAGTTTTGCTCACAAAAGGTCTAACTTTTTATGATCACTACTGTGTAGTGAAAGATGTGGAGGCAATTAAAAGTCTGCTGCAGGGGAAGAAGAAGCGCATTAGGATTTATTCATGTACACATAGTGTACATATTGAAGGAATCATTTCTTCCATACTTTGAGGGGTGCAGTTTTCCATGTGGATTGCAGCATGAACTGTAGCATAATAGGTAGGAAACAGAACCTGCACATCTCTGCTTCTTTACACAGAGTAAGGTTGTTGAACACAACCATTTCTGAACTGGAACACTTTGGAGTTGAATGTCAGCTTACAGGTGTTCCAGAGTCCCACATAACCAGGTGTTTCCAGATCCCTTGCAACTTTACATAGGCAATAAAATTTGCCACTTTGGGGCCACTAAGTTCTCTTGGTGAGTCTTGGTGACTCAGTTCAACCTGCCTCATGGAGTTGTTGGAATATATTTGAAAGAGGAACTACTATGTATACTACCTTGAGTCCGTGGAGGAAGATAATATTCTAATCTAATAAATTAATTTTCATTCTGTCTTTTCTTTCCCCCATTTTCCTGGTCAGTCTTGCAATGTTTTTACGAAGGACCAAAGCTGCCATCATTATTCAGAAATTCCAGCGCATGTACGCTACCCGCAAGCGGTATCGACACACCCGAGCAGCTACTGTTATTCTCCAGTCACACTTGCGAGGCTACATTGCCAGGAAGAAGTATCATAAGGTAAGCCAGTCCTTGGTTTATGATTTTGAGTTCTCTCCAAAAGTTATGATCTGACAATACTCTCTTCCAGGATGCTGTAGAATGGATGAGTGTTTTAATGTTATTTCTGTGTGCCCATTTCTCAAGGTACAGCTCAGTGCAGTTGAATCCCAACAGAGAAGAATATTGGTGGTGCAAATCTTTGCAAATTATGTATCCCATAATACATAATATGCAAATTATATATCCTATAATCGATATTCTCTCTAATCCTTTTTCCAATGAGTTCAGTGTTCATTGGGGTTAGCTGCTGACAAAAACATAGTGATCTGTAATCCTGACCTATCAACATCCAGAATTCTAAATTGAGTGGATTTTGACAAACTCTTACACCCCCTTATTTGAACCAACTCCCCTTTTTTTGAACATTATTCTGTAGGAGAATTTTCATTGTGTTCTGTTAGATTGTAGAAGCCTTTAAAAATAGATACTCCTTCAGTTTCTGAACCTTTGTGGTTTTGCAAGAATTTCAAAGATGGCCCAGTTGTGTTGCTGGATAATGTCTTCTGACACATCAATGGTATTCCGGTAATTAAAGATGATTTTATTCTGCATGGCATGTTCTTTGCCTGTGGATGCTATCACAACAGATGCCTTGTTATTATAAGACCTGGTATGGATAATAATTACTGGCCTGTAATAAGAGTTGAATCATCTGCTTACCTGTTCTGAGGAGAATCCCAAATGAGATTCTGTTGGGAGGCTCACATTTTTACAGGAATCTCCACTGTTCCAAGTCTATAGATGCTGTTTTGTAAACAGTCTAATGGATGTAGGAAAGTTTCTGATATTTGAATATTCTTTGGATGTACTGGGATTATTTGTGTCAACCTGTGGACCTGCTGTGGCTGTTGAATCAAGGTATTTCTAGAGCATTTGAACAGAGCAATGGCATAATGATAGTTGGGAATATGTTGTGTCAGGTTTCTTGGCATAACTTAGGTATAAGAAATATTATTCAAATGACTAAGCTTTAAACATGAAACTAGAGAAAAGCTAGTTAATGTAGTATTAGAAAGCAGACTTCTCTAAATTGTTTTCCTGATCCCCTGAACAAGAATTACAAGTGGAGTTGTTGGCTGACAAATCAGGGAGTTGTCCCAGCATAATCTTGAAGTCACAAGATGGATGAAGGATCTTGAATCTTTCCTAATAGCTGGGTTCATTTTGGGAGTTTTAATTGTTTGTATTGATTTTGAGTATTATTTTTGTATAATATAAAAATGCCCAAATTGATTAATTTGTCAACTGAGTCTATCAGTACCGGAATAAAGCAATATTAATTTGTTTATAAAATATGGACTTTTAATCAATAACTTATGACATGAATAATGATTTCCAAAAATGGTCAGAAATCAGCTTTTTTTCTTGGCTATCCAAATGTTTAGGCACTGGAGAGATCAGTGAATTTGTCCCACCATTTTAGCCTTGGGTGGCAAAGCAAGCTACTCCTATAAATTAGGAGCACATATTTTGTTTTTCCTTCCTAGTTTTAGTTTGTTTTACTTTTCACTTGGCCACAACTCGCCTTCATTGTGCTGTTAGTTAATTATCCCTTGTAGCAGATTTCAGTCAAAGATCTGAAATGCAGGAAAAGGATGCTCAGCCTGTCTTTTCGATGTACAGATGCTTTGGGAGCACAAGGCCACCATTATCCAAAAACATGTGCGTGGCTGGCTGGCTCGCTTGCACTATCACAGGACTTTGAAGGCAATTATTTATCTGCAATGCTGCTACCGGCGCATGATGGCAAAGAGGGAGCTGAAGAAACTGAAGATAGAGGCCCGCTCTGTAGAACACTATAAGAAACTCAACGTTGGCATGGAGAATAAGATTATGCAGCTCCAACGTAAAATTGATGACCAGGTAAAATGATGTATAACTGTGGATTAAATGATGAGCGGTCTTGCATTTGAATCAGGGCCTCTTTGAATGTTGGAAATCTAAAATCTGAGCCTGCTGGAAAAAATCTTCACGGAAAACGCAAAAAATTTAGTAAACAGAATACAAGCAGGTATATATTAGTGTGCAGAAATGGCTATTGTATGTGACAATTTGTACATAGTTTTTTTTAAAACAGATCTATAACCCCACATTTTTTACAAGTGAACACAGAGGATGCTTACAACACAACAGCATCCTACAATTTATAAAAATATACCAATTATAAAGGTAGAAAACAATAAGCTGTTCTGCAAAACATTGGGCATGTTTGACTCATCCTGTTCAAAAGCACTTTCCATTTAGGATATTGTGCTCATTAAAAACTACCCTCACTTTGTAGAAATATACAACTGGTTCTTGCTTTCTTTTAAAGCACATCATTTGTAACCAGTAGATAATACACCCTGTTACTTCATTCACACTAGATGATACGTTGCTTTCAAGCTTCTGTGGGGCATAACTAAGTATGGTACAGAGATGAAAAGAGGAGACACTCCCTGCCTCAGGAGAAACTTGGTAGCCTAATGTATAGCCTCTTCCTATACATATTTATATATATTTAATACTGAAAGGATGGGGAAGGTGCAGTTGTAATGTAGGGTGATGTATATCTTCTGAGTACATGGGAAATAAGATGATCCATAAATATTTACCCTGTGTCTGTTACACTCTAAAGATTCAACTGCGTTATTTTGGGTTTTGTTCAGTCACGAGACTCCAGATCCCTTGTTGAGAAGCTCACTAGTTTAGAGACAGCATACAATTCTGAGACGGAGAAGCTGAGGAATGACATAGAAAGGCTTCGGATGAGTGAAGAAGAGGCCAAGAATGCCACCAATCGCGTCATTAGCCTTCAAGAGGAGATTGGCAGGCTCCGAAAGGAGTTGAACCAGACCCAGACTGAGAAAAGAACAATTGAAGAAAAGGCAGATATCTATAAGCAAGAAACAGACAAGGTAAAATTGTTTGGCTCTGAAGCACACCAATTTGAAGTACTGCTGACGAAGAGCAATGTAGGGATGGGTGCATGAGTCCCGTTCTCTTCCCCACACTTTTGCTCCTGTCTCTCCCCAGTTGATTGCAGCCTGTAGTTTGAGTAGAACAGCTTCATCAAAGTTACACTTAAAAAAAAAGAAAAACAGTTTTACCATTTCTATCATTTTCATCAAGATAGGAGTTCCTTATATTGTAAATCAGGCTTTTTCCAAGAAGCACCTTCCCAGTGCTGGCTGGGGTTCATGGTAATGGAGGGCCCCGCTTGAGGAAGCCTGATCTACAATATATTGTCCTAGACTAGGTGAAATGTTGTGTATAGACAAGACTTTGATAATGATGCCAACAGCCTCATCATAAGCTTAGCAATTAACTTTATTGGAATCATGCAAAACAGCTAATCAATTTATTGCCAGAATACTAAAATCTTTCCCTTCAAACCTTTTTTTAGCTGGTGTTGGAACTAAAAGAGCAAAACACGCTTCTTAAAAAGGAAAAGGATGAGCTGAATAGTCGCATCCAAGATCAGGCCAAAGAAATTACAGGTAAACTCAGATTGGGAATTTACTTTGGCTGAGTTTTTAAAACTAGCTTCTGTGTTTAATAAGCATATGCAGGAGGGATGCTGGGCCGGAAGGAATTCCCTTCCTCACTTGTAGGGAGAAAGTGATGAGTGAACTGGGCAACCCAAGCGTGAAATCATGGAGGATCTTTTTCTTTTGAGGGCTGTGTTGTGTTGGGGTTCCTGTGCCAGTCATAGGTGGGGCCAGAGTTAATGGCAAGAAGGCCATAGCCAACATAGGCAACCCTACCCTTTTCCTCGCTCATTGACAGCCCCTCTTGCTTTCCATAGTTCTCGTGTGCATTTGAAACCTCCCATACCCATTTGTAGGTTCTTTGAGACTGCAGACCTGAGTTGAATCAGTTTGTTATACCCAGTTTTCAAACTGCCCCAATGTAAGGGTGATATGTGTTAGAATTTTATTTCATCATGCCCAAGCACACTTCTGTCCTCCAACCTGAGCAAGTTATATAACACTAATCAGTCTGAAGTGTTTTGCGTATACTGAAGAAAAAAGGACTTGAAATGGTTGTTACTCACTTAAATTTACAAAAGGAGTATTACTAATTATTATTAGGGTATTAATACCTATTAATACCTAACTCACGTCTAACCTATAATTTTAGCTATTTTTGGTTGTATAGGGGGAAAAGAAGGAAAGTAAGAAAGCTTAATTTATTTTTATTGCTATATAAAATAAATAAATAATCAATATACCGTATAAAACAACCCCCCAAAATCAAATAACACTATAGCAGTTACATTTTTTGTGAATCAGTACTGCACTTGATTGTATTGTGTATGACTATTAGCTATTGTATGGAGTCTTATTTAAATTGGGCCCTGGCCATGCAGTGACTTAGAAATGGTTGAGGAGTGACAGCTGGGTGTTTAACATTCCCGTGCTCTCCTCCCTGCCCTATAAGATGCCAAGGTAGCTGTGGATAATTGAAGTAGAGATGGACATGGACTAGGGCAGGAGGGAAGGAAGGAATGGATGGAGTGGGGTAGGGATGCCAAAACATTGGAGAAGAAACACCTCTTAACAGGTGGCTTTGATATAGATAAATCTTGATTTAATTTTTCCTTTTCTTTGCAGAGGTCATAGAGAAAAGGTATCTTGAGGAGACAAAACAACTGGACCTAGATCTGAACAATGAAAGGCAGAGATATCAGAATCTGCTCCAAGAGTTCAGCCGGTTAGAAGAGCGATATGATGACCTCAAGGATGAGATGAAGCTGATGGGGGTGAGCTGGCCCGATGCCAAATTCAGGATTCAGTATCAGTCTTGGGTCTGGAACAGAAGCTGTCCAATAGCTCAAAAGGAATGGGAATGTGCACAATTCAGATTGTAAACACAGTGAATGAGGAGGGCAATCTTCTTCCTGCTTGCTGCTTCTCCATCTGCCTTTATTCAGCAAAGACTCCTCATTTTTCTCCATAAATTTGCTAAGTTCCCACCCCTTCAAGAGATGAACCAATTAAAGTGCAGGAAACCTTTAGGCTATGGAGGCACCAAAGTTAATGCTAGTGCTCACTTTCTTTCCAGAGTGTTTCCAAGCCAGGGCACAAGAGAACAGACTCCACCCATAGTAGCAATGAATCAGAATATACTTACAGCTCTGAGATCACTGAAGCTGAAGATTTACCAATGAGAACAGAGGTAAGGTTGGAAAATACACTACAATTTGTTATTTTCTCTGGGCCATGACGCAGCAGTTGTGCAGAAGTGACAACCTTGTCATCATATAGCAAATCAGTTCTGGAGATAGTTTTTGAATATCCAGAAATGTTCAAGCGTACTAAGTACCTGATGGTTGAGCCAGATTTTTAAACTATGATTTAAAACATCTCAGTATTATAAAGTTACAAGAACCTAGTGTGTTCATAATTTATATTTGACTCTTAACTGTCACCCTGTTTTTTTTTTCCTTTCCATAAAATAAGGCAGAAATCCATGGTTGATCATGGACCTTAAAGTGTGTACTAGGCTTCAATTTTTAAAGCTTTAGGATAGATACTTTTAAAATTAGGTTTGTTTATCAAACTGAGCTTTTAAATTTTTTGATTTATAAAATAACAATTTGAAAGAATTTGAATATCAATAAGTAGCTGTTTTAAACAAGTAAAAGGTATATATTCCCCATCATGTCTTTCCCTTTAATTCTTGCTAACTTTTACATTCGGCTTGCATGCTAACATGTTCATTTAAAGCCAGCTTGGGATATGACCCTTATGGAGACTTCATACTGCTGCTCTGATGTTGTTTGCACTGTAGGTCCTCCATATTGTGGGCCCTATTTCCTGAAAGCTCTCATTTCCATGTGTTTTCATCTTTTCCTCATGATAACAAACGGTGTGTAGGCTGCCCCTCCTTCAGTAGCTTGGAAACTTTCTGACCCCACCCTTCCCCATTTGTCCTGTAAATCAGGAACCAAGTGAGAAGGCACCTTTGGACATGTCTCTCTTCCTCAAACTACAAAAACGAGTGAAGGAGCTGGAGCTAGAAAAGCAGTCCCTGCAGGATGAGCTAGACAGAAAGGAGGACCAAGTTATTCGAGCCAAGGCCAAGGTAAGATAGAAAGGATTATGTATCTTTAGAATTTAAGCTTGTTCAGGTGGTGGTGACAGTTGGGATCTTATTCCACCTCCTCTCCCATTCAGCAGATGGAAGGTAGGTCCATGATTCCCTCCAGGGGAAGATGCAGAAGGTAACTAAGGAATATGCGAAACACTACTAGTGTTTTCGTTGTAGTTGTCCAATTAAGATTTTTGTTGTTTTGATCCACTGGTGTTAGAAGCAGGTTAGAATATTATTTTTTTCTTGTGGTATTTTGTTTCATGAACATCCCTTATGAACCTTAAAGGATGTTTTAATCTGGTTTTTACCCTTTATCTTAATATTGTTGATAAAATCAGCTGAGTGGTACTTTTAGTAATTGTAACCTTTGGAAAATCATTCACCTTTCCTTCTTGGCTTAGGCTGCAGAATCCTGTCCCTACTTACTGTTATACATTGCTTAAAAAGCTTAAACATTACATAAACATTACCAATTATCTAAACATGAATACAGGGAATTCACTGAAAAATCTATTTCTTCTTGATAATGTCTGAAATGTTCTGTTTTTAAAACTGGAATCTCTTTTTTTGTGTCTTGAATTTTTCCAGGAGGAAGAAAGGCCTCAGATGAGAGGAGCAGAGCTGGAATATGAATCTCTTAAGGTTGTGAGGAGTATTGTATTTTGGATCGCTGAATCCTATGCATTACCCCCAAAGTAGGCTAAATTAGAAAAAACAGATTTAAATGGTATTTCCTGAACTTTTTTTAAAGTATGTCCTAATGGTTCATGTACATACTACAGTACAATTATACATGGAGGCTGGTAGTCAGTGGTGATTTGGTTATTCTAATTTTTAGACTGAGGCACATTGACAAAAGTACCTGGAATTTGTCCAGCTTCCGCAATATGAAAACATCAGTGTGTCTGGAAGGCACCAAGATTTCTAGACTACTTTTCCACTCTAGGAATGTCTAAGTCAATGTTTTTCAAACTTAGCAGCTTTAAGATGTGGGAACTTCAACTTCCAGAATTCTGGCTGGTTGGAGAATTCTGGGAGTTGAAGTCTCCACATCTTAAAGTTGCCGAGTTTGAAAAACACTGGTCTAAGTATTTCCACTCTGTATATTTTAACTGATTGCCATTCCTTCCATGGAAGAAAACCAGACAATACAAACACAAGGACAGGTCTCTTATGACTTCATCAGTCCACCAATTCATAGAGTTCTTTAGTGGAAATCACAAAGGTTTCATCTGGAATAAAGTAGACATATGTTTGTGATATACATAAGAGCTAGAACATCTTGTTTCAAACCCATTGGTAACTAAAATTGGCTTTTTTACCTTGATCTTGATTTTTGTTAGGACAGCTGATGAATGAGGACAACTCTTGTTGTTTTTCCCACCTTATACTCTGCAGCGTCAAGAGCTTGAGTCAGAGAATAAGAAACTAAAGAATGAATTGAATGAGTTGAGAAAGGCCCTGATGGAGAAGAGTGCTCCGGATGTCACTATGCCTGGTGCCCCAGCATACAGGGTCCTTTTGGACCAAATGACGTCTGTCAGTGAAGAGCTGGAGGTACGCAAGGAGGAAGTTCTCATCTTGAGGTCTCAACTGATGAGCCAGAAGGAGGCAGTCCATCCCAAGGTGAATAGCAGAAGCAAAACTGGTTGTATCATCCATTCATGTCAGTTAACAGCGCAAGGGCGGTTCATATTGCTTCTTTTCTTCCGAAGTACGATCCAGAATCAAACCAAATACTGGCATGGATTTTCTTCTGTAGCACATTAGCTATGTGTAAAACAGATTAAATGCAGGATTTATATGTCCTCTGTTCCACTGCAGGAAGCTCTTCTAACCATTGAATATGGTTGAGTCACCATTGGTGTTCATCAGCTGTTGTATTAATTTATGGAATGTTGGGGGGCGGGCAGCATGCTCAGTTCTTTGCCGTTTGATTGCTACTGTGCTCTGGAGTGGCCTTTCTGAAGCTTTAGAACAGCGTTTCTCAACCTTGGCCGCTTGAAGATGTGTGGACTTCAACTCCCAGAATTCCCCAGCCAGCATGGCTG